CGTCGCCGCCTCGGAACTCCAGAAACGAGAGATTCCGCAAGAGTGGGATTTCCGCTGTGGTTGCGTACTCCGCGTTCGTTTTCATTGGAGGGTTTTTCACTTTGGTTGATCGCGGACGCTGCCTTTAACTGAAAATGACGTAATCTTTGGGCACACACTCGACTCCCACTAAGGAAGTGGCATTTCGAATGTGATATGTCCTATACAAGGACTTGCAGGACCAGCCGATGTACAAAGTGTTTTTACCGTCCCATACGAGTTACCAATCCAACGTTCTCGAAAGGTAGAAGACTCTGCTGGCTTGGACAAAGCTGATTCGGGATGGGAGCGCACCACTTGATAAGCGGGCCAACTGCTTGCCACTTCACCACCTCCACCTCACACTTATATAACAAGAGCGATTAGCTAAGGATAATTTCAGTGAGGGAGTAATTAGAGGCTCAGCTCCAATGCAGCGTGACCGAATATATCAAGGCATCCTACACAGTTTCACTGTGTGGTGTTTTCTGTGTAAATAATCAAGCTTCATGAAATTTTCAATGTTCATTGTTGTCAAATTAACAAATTTCCAATTATTTATAGATGATCTATTTTCAACAATCTAATAAAGACCCACAAACTACCATGGGGAAGACCGTCACAGGACTGACAAACTTACACTACCATTATTCCTCAAAATCTACAATGATGTCGCCTAGTTGAAAGCAAGTCCTTTGCCGAATGCCATTTTCTCTTCCATGTCCGGTTTTCTTATAATGGGTGGAGACCTGACAAAGAGAATATTGGAAATTTTTAGCGGAACGTCTAAACAAGTCTAAAAAATGCTGGATGGCAGTTTGAACGGAAGTGTTATTTAACTTCTTTTCGTTTCATTTATTTTACGCGTTCCTCCTTTCAGTACAATGGCCTCGCAAAGAAACGATTCGTATAGACACCTGCGGCCCCTGATTACAGCAGCGCCCGAAACCAAACCGAAAGCTGGTAAACTCGTCAAAAAATGAACGAGTCTTGAACGAAATAAGTTCTATTCCCCTACCCTTACATACAAATCTTCGAAAT